ATTGGCAAGAGGTGTAATGTTACAGATCCATTTTCATTGCGTATCAAGTGTCCAATACTTTTTTCCACCCCCTGTATTTCAAATTGAAGAAAAAGAGGTTATTAACTTACTGAACAAAGGAGAGAGTTTGAAAAAAATTTAGAAGAATTAGAAAAAAGTAAAGATCAACAAATTAAAGAACTAGAAGAAGAAATAAGAGAATTGGAAGAGGTATTAGAATTAGAGGAAAATATTTCTAAATGTCATTTAGATGTGCTTGAAGTAGCTAGAAAATGAAGAGTAAGGCAAAGCAAAGAAAAAGATGAAAACTTAGAAAAAGCTTCGAGAAAAATAGAGATGCTAGAAAATGTTGTGGCATGGCAGAATTATTTAACAAACAAGCAACTTCAAGAACTACCATCTTTACCAAAGAAACAAAACAAATTTAAACTCCTAACTAACAAAGTAAAAAGCAGAATTAAGCAAGCAAAAGTAATAACTCAAGAGAAGTTTGACACTTACATTTTACAAAAGGATAAATAATGAAGTTAGAGTATCAAGCTATTGAGTTAAGAAGAGAAGATAAATGACATTGCAATTTTTGCTCTTTTGAAAAAGAAAGAAGTTTAACTGCTACTTACAAAATATTATCTTATAATACTAGCAACAATGATTATAGTGATATTGCTTATATCTGTGTTGAATGCAAAAAAAATCTTGACAATGATGTTCTACCACATTGTAATGATTGTGATCAAGCTATGAGAAATAGAATAGATTGCTTCTGTGATTTAAGAAAAGATGAGCCACCAGTTAAAACTCCAACTATAACTGAAATAATGGCTCAGAGTTATATGGGTAGATTAGAACAACAAAACAAGGATTTAAAATAGTAACTAGCCAGTGCTAAGGAAGAAATCAGTTCTCACTTGACAGCCTTAAATGTTTCAAAGGATTGACATGATAAACAAAAGCAAGAATTATTGGATAAATTCAAAGACTTGAAAGTGAGATTGAATTCTTAAGAAAACAGCAGACTCAACATGTTGCTCAAATTGAAGTTAAAGAAAATAAGAGATGAGCTTGATTAAAAGTAAAAAAGTAATTTAAATTTCATAAGTAATTCTTTCTTTGTCTAGGTACTCCTGGAGAGTTTGGGTATCATTGATTTTAAAACATATGAAGCAATTTTTTCTTCTTGGACTTTTTTTAGGATGCTTCTAATAGTGCTGTAATTCTTGGGTTCCATAGTGCATTTAATGTAAATTAGTTTCATATAGAGATAACCCTATATTAATCATGTTATGGTTTATATTCATCACATTCTGATATGATAAAGGGAACATTAAAATTAAGTTATGAATGCACCATTATTACTTTTCAAAATGTCATCAATCATCCTGGTCAATTTTACAGCCACATCATAATCAGCCTCTCATTTATAGAATGTTCACTTTGTTTGGTTTTGTTGCAGCATGCCCCATATATAAAATTGTCTTTCTGATATTTTTTGATAATACTTCAAGCTATATTCTATTAATTATGCAAAATTATTACATGAAAATACTTTTTTGCTGTGGTTAAAGCTGAGTTGGGTAGAGATCGGTCGAGGTCGGGTAGAATCGCCATCACGTGACAGTCACTTATTTTGCCGTGGCTAGCATAGTGGGCTTTCTCTGTGATTGGCTATTTTTTTGCAGATCATTTTGTATCAATTTTGTTCAATCAGAGACAGCGTAGATTA